TCCTTATTTTTAACACCTTCTTCCCTTATTTTTTTTTTAAAGTTGCTATCTTTATAATTACATAGTTTATTGGAGAAAATCTCAGCTATCCAATGAAAATAACAAAAAAAAAAAATTCCAAGTGGGGAAAAGTAAATAAAAATAAAAAATAAGAGTTAATTTTGAAAAAGTGGGGTTAAACATTTGTTTAAAAATTATTTGGCATTAAAAACTACTTGAAAATAATCTTTCAAAAATCCAATTTACATATTAAATTTACTTTTTCACTTTTTTTTTGGAACAAAAATTTAATTAAGCCCAATTTAATACAGTGAAAAAAAAATTTATTTGATTCAAATAATCGGTTACTTGACTGTTATCAAATAAATATTTACTTGAATTAAATAATTTTTAATTGAATTAAACTGTATTTGAATCATTGAATTTTTAAGTTCTAAAGTACAATAATTATATATATATTACTTACCAAGCAGCATACATTTGAATTGTCACAAAATATTTTTTTTTGTAAAAAGTATATGTTTATAAAAAAAAAAAAATTGCTAATTTTTTGGTATGTTTTTTTTTTAACTTAATGTAATTCTTACCTTAAATTCCAGGACAAAAATTTATACGCATTTTTTGGAGCGTTTATGGATTAATTAATACCTATATTATATAAGTTTTATTTTTCTAACAATTTTTATTAATTTTTTTTATCGTATTTAAATTACTTGAAATTTAATTTTCTCAATTGAATACATTTTGAATTTGAAATTAAATATTGAAATGCAGTTGAATGAAAAAAGAAAATTTTAAAATAATAAAAAATTATTTTGAAATTATACTACAATATAATTTAGGGTACAGTGTAATAATAGTGTCGTTACTGCTCATTCTGAAATTCAATACAATACAAGGCTGTATACAAAAGTGTTAGAATTGACATCATGTGGGAGGTATAGATAAGGACATAGAATTCCGAGTGCAATGAAACGTATACATGAAAGTATAGAGTATAGGATGCATTTTGCACTATATTTAGAAGATTATGTAAAAAAAATCATTTTTTTACCTATTTTAATAAAAATTAAAAAATTAATTTTTTTTACCTATATTAATAATATCAGCTGGTAGAACAAATATTAATTTTTAGAAAAAAAATTAAAAATTCCAAAAAATTATTTATTTATACATTTTGAATACAATCAAAAGTTTTTTCATATCGCTTTTTTATTTTTTTTTTTAAATAAATAATCCGATTTAAATTAATGATAACTTATTTTCTTCAGAAAATAATTGTTAATATCTTTATTACTTGGATTTTTAAACAACTGCACCGTTTCTTTTGAATTGGGTTATTTGTTTAAAAAAAAGTGAAAATTATTTTTTAAACAAAAAAGCATATTTAAAAAAAAAACATTTGTTTAAAAATTCCAGCTGTAAAGATGTTAACAATTGTTTTCTGAAGAAAATAAGCCATCATTCATTTAAATCGGATTATTTGCAAAAAAAATAATTTTAAATCAATATAAAAAAAAAAAATTTTAATCATATGCAAAATGTTTAAATAAATAATTTTTGTAGGTTTAAAAATTTTTTCTTAAAAATTAGTATATATGTGTTCTTTCAGCGGATATTATTATTAATATTATTTTAAGTTTTTAAATATAAATTGAAATTTTTTTTTCTCGATATCTGCATTCCCGCAGGTATGAACAATCCTTAATTTCAAAAATATTTATTGATTTTAAAAAAAAGTTAATTTGATTCAAGAAAAATTTGCTTAATTCAAGAAATATATATTTTTTTTAATTTGAAAATAAGTTACATCGGATTCAGAAAATGTTCCTTTAATTTATAGAATATATTTGTTTAATATAAAAATATTTGTGCATTTTACAATTTAAAAAATTTTAATTTGTAACTTTTTTTATACGTGCATGTTTATATATATATACAATATGGAAAATCCAATTATACTCCATGCGATATATTGTAGTTTTTCCACAGATTAAAATAGTGGAAGCCTCATAAAAGTGAAAAAAAAAAAACACGTCAAGTCATTTAAATCTATTTTTATTTATCTTTATATCTTTAAAATTTTTTTTTTTTTTTAAACCATTTTTTTGTAAATAAAATCACAAATATTACAAACTGTTTTATTTTACAAAAAAAATGTTACAAAAATTTTTTTCCAATATTTTTTAATACATAAAATTTTTTATTTTTATAGAAAAAATAATAATGATTTTTAAAATAATAGAATAAATAATATTAATTGCAAAAAAATAAAATCAACCCTTAAAGATTTTTTTAATTCCAATGCAATTTTCTCCTACTATTATAACCGATGTCATATTACTGTCGAGGAGCGCATACTCTCTCGGAACAAGTGGAAAATTCCATTCACAGTAAGCCATAGGCGTAAGTAATTGTAAATTCTATTTAAAATTTTTAAAGAAAAATTGCACCGTTAATTAATTCTGTTTCATTTATTTTTCACTTTGTTAGCATTGAATAGAAATGGCAAAAATAGATGCACTATATAATTAAAAATATGAATCATCATTTATTAATCGCGTTAATTGAAAACTAAATTCTATAAATATAAAAAAATTCAAATATTTGAGAAAATCTTTTAAATAATTTTTTTTACGAATAAAAAAAAAACAAAATTCCAAAGGCATATTTTTAAAAACAGTTAAGAAATACTTAAATAAAAATAAAAGATTGAGGAATATTAGAATTTTTTTTTTTAAATTCTCTCGCGAGTCAGAGAGATTTATTTTTGAAAAATTTTTACTCCTTTTTTTATAAAAATAACTAATTATTAGAAATTCTTTAATCTATTTTTATTTATAATGACGACATAAGTTATTGACTTAATATTTTTTTTTTTCATATTATATACAAAACAGGACAAAAATATATACCTTCTGATCATCACGTCATTGTCAATTCAAAAACAATATTTATAAATAGAAACTATTTTTTTATTCATTATACTTTAATAATATATGATTAAAATAATTTGTAAACTAAAATATTTCAAACAATTTGTAAGGTTATTATTTTTGAAATATATATTAATTAATTAACATTTTATGTCATTGATTAATTTTCACGGTTTTTACATTTGATTTTTTGTATATATATTGGAATTTAGAAAAATAGATATTATTAATAAAAATTATTTAAAGTATTAAAAATAAAAAATAGTAAAAATAAAATAAAAATTGGAACATTAAAATTACTGAATTAATTTGCACAATAATATTTGTTGAATATTAATGACAATTCATTACATCTGATTCTTTTTTTTTTTCTTTTATTTTTGCGATTATTTTGCAATGCGACATGAAGCTGTGATGAATCAATCAATATTTGCATTAAAGTGAATCATTACGAAAAAAGTCTGGTTTAAAAAAAAATCTTGTATCATTTTTTTTTTTTTTATTCTCATTGCGATTATTAGTGATTAGTAAAATTAACAAAACCTTTAAAGATATTGATAATTTTAATTGACTTACAAGACTAATTCCTAATTATTAAAGAAAGTCACTCAAAATTATTTACTTTATTTATTTAACCCTTAATTGGCACCATGGGTCTAGTAGACCCGAGAATTTTTTCTCGCTCAAATTAATTAAATTAAATTAAATTAGAATGAAACATTAATAATTATAAATTTTTAATTTTAACGTAAAAAGTCACATTTTATTTTGCAAAATAAATACCTTTTTTCGCAAGTCCTGCTGTTGTTTAAGTCAGAATATTAAAATTTAAATAACTCATGAATTTTTAAGTAAAAATACGCAATTTTTCGTTTTTATTTTTCACAATTTTTTTTAACTAACTTAAAATAAATTAATTCCTGTAAAACTAATAAAAATTTTAAAAAACACATCATCACATCATAAGGGTTAAAATTATTTCAGTTATTGTAAAAAAATAAAAAAAAGAAGAATGCCTCCTTTTTTCCAATTCCCAAAGAATATATATGTATATCAAAGTAGATTTTTTTTATTTAAGGAGCTTCAACCCATTAACATAACCTCAAACTAAAAAGTAGTTTTTAACAGAACTAAAAATATATTTAACATTTATTACACTCAAATTCGACAGATTCAATTTGTACAATATTAGAAAAAAATTATTTTGAGTTAAAATTTGGTGTTAAATTAATAATTAATAAACATTTGGTATTTTTTCTTAAAAGTTAGTAAAGAATTCTAATTTTTATCCAATTTTTTAAAAACAATGTCTCATTTTTCTCTTTGAAAGATTCTCTAAAATTTTGATTTTGTGTTTTTGTTAAATAATGGTTTGTTGAAAGAATATAAAAAATAAAATTTTTTTTTGTTTATTAACTTTTGAACAAAATATTTTTTAATAAAATTCAACAAACTGAATTGTAGAAAATCTCTCAAAGAGAAAAATGAGCTATTGTTTGTAAGAATTGGATAAAAATTACAATTGTTCACTAACTTTTAAGAAAAAATACAAAATGTTTATTAATTATTATTTAACAACAAATTTAAACTCAAAATAATTTTTTTCCAAAATTGTACAATTTGATCTGTCGAATTTGGATGTAATAAATTTTAAATATATTTTTAGTTCTGTTAAAAACTACTTTTTAGTTTAAAATTATGTTAATGGGTTGAACCTCTATAAGAGAAAAAAAAAATATTTCAATATAAAAATTATAGTTTATCAACAAAATGTAAAATTAAGATAAAAATTAAAGATCTAGAAAAAGTATTATAAATAATATAAAATATAATAAATTATAAATTGTAGATAGGTAAATATCTCAAAAGAATAAAAATATCAATTTTTTTTTTCGTTTTAATCTGATTTAAGTTAATTTATAGATACAGGAAAATTTTTTTTGAATATAATTTGAATAATAATTTTTGAATATTGATTTTGAAACTATATTTATTATTCTAATGTAATTTTTTTCGCAAGTGATTTAAAAAATTAGTTTAAATACATTGTTTATCAGACTGATTGCGTTTAAATTGCTCAGAAAAAAAATAATCTAATTTGACGTCATTCTTTATTTAGGTATATATAGATGAGAATTGTAAAATTGAATTGAAATAGTTAAACAAACTAGACAAATGAGTGTAATAGAAAAAGTAATTGTATTATATTAATTGAACTACTTTCAAGAACATTGACGTTAAACTAGAGAAATTTCCAGAAGGTATATGCCTGGGGTTTGATTTGAACTTTTCTCTACCACTCGCATTTCAATACTAATTACATTCTTTTTATATACATATATAGATATATAATCATTTGTAGAAATTACTTAGAAATTGTTCTGATTCTTTTGTATATGTAATTATTGTATTATTCCAGTAATTCAAAGCAATGTGAAATAGTAGTAATAAAAATAGAATTAAATATACTAATATAATATAATTAAAAAGAGAAAAAAATAGTATAAAATTAATAATTAAAAAAAATTAATTAATTGTAAAAAAATTTTTTCTCGATTATATGAAGAGTTAAAAATGAAACACTCTAATTCACTTTTTTTTTAGCAACAAAAAACATCTATTATTATATGATTTAATTAAATTTAAATGAAGAATTAATTATAATTATTGGTTTTATTAATAAGCTTTAAATATTTATGTATTTATTTAATATTGAATGTTTATTAAAAATAAGTGTTTAATTATTATTTATTTAAATCTTACACGGGTTCAGAAACAAACCGTAACGTCTTTAACCTCTTCGCAGTCTAGTAAAAAAAATCGTTTCTGGAACCCAAACGGTACACAAAAAAAAGTTTCCCAAAAATATATCATATCATCGTATTAAAAGTTTTTGTGGTCGCTGAATCTAAATTTAAGGTCAGATTTAAAAAATTCAAAATGGCGGACCCAATATGGAGGAAAAATTTAAAGTTGATTCGATTCGTTCAAAATTTGATACTCGGGGGGTTTTAGGGGTCGCTGAATCCAAATTTGATGTTAAATTTTAAAAATTTAAAATGGCTGACCCAATATGGCGGAAAAAATTTTTAATTGACTCGATTCGTTCAAAATTCGGTACTTAGAGGTTTTTTAGATTGCTGAATCAAAATTAGAGGTCAATTATGGATTCAGTGACCCCAAAAACCCCCGAAAACGAAATTTTGAACGAATCGAACTAATTTAAAATTGGGTCCGCCGTTTTTAATTTTTTAAATCTGACCCCAAAATTGGATTCAGCGATCTCGAAAACCCTAAATGAACCATTTTTATGCAAATCTAGTCAATTTTTAAATTTTTTTGGACGCCATATTGGGTCCGTCATTTTGAATTTTTTAAATCTGACCTCAAATTCGAATTCAACGACCCCGAAAACCTTAGTATATCCATTGACATTCAAATCGAATTATGTTTAGTATTTTTTTTCTAATTTGGACATATATGTTCAAATTCACAAAGGTGGCACTACTTTTTTTGGCAATAACAATATTAACAATAAAAAATTATATCTCTAATAATTTCAAAACTAATAATCAAAATAATAATTTATTTATTAATTTGAATATAAACGGGGTTTAAAAAATAATAATAATAATAATAATAATAAAAAAAAATACTAAAATAATTTTTAAATATATTCAAAAGTTCTAATTTATTTATTAGTTTTATATGATTTCAAACTTAATTAATTTGTAAATGTTTATTAATATATTAACCAGTGTAAGATTTGAAATAAATAAATATTTAAAATACTTACAATTTAAAATAATAATAGTTAATTTATTTTTAATAACTACTTTAAATTAAAAAAAAAATTATTACAGTTATTATAAAAATTTTTTTTTAAAAAAAGATAACTAATTGCATGAACTTTAGATTTCATATATATATTATATACTTTAAAAATTATTTATTTCTAAAATAAATAATTTTAAAAAAATGCTAAAATTTTGTTTTTGAAAAATTAATTTAATTATGTTGGTACTTATTTTACTAACAGATTTTAAATTGTTAAAAATTTTAAAGACCTTGCGCCTATTTATTTCTGAAATAAATAATTTAAAAAGGTACTAAAATTTAAAATAAATAAATAAAATAATAAAATAAAAAATTTTACTATACAGATTTTAAATTGTTAAAATTTTGAAAAAATTGACAATTTTTTGTATAATATTTAACAAATAAATTATAACGAAAGTAGAATAATTTTTTAAAAATTTATATTTGATTAAAAAAAGATAAATAAAAATGCGAGATAACTGAATTTATAGTAAGATAAAAATTTTTAAAGATCTAATATAACAATAAGGAAAGGATTATCATCAGGAAGTTGGCTTATATTTATATATTGTTGAATAATAAAAAAGACAAATGTTACGTAAAGATCATAACTTATTTATTGAACCTGACATAAAAATCATCATATGATACATAATAGTGATGAACCGAGGCAAGCTTTCAAAACACTAGATATATTATTGTTTTTTTTTTTTTTGTTTCTTTTTTTTTATATTATTCTCGTGTACATCTCATGTGCATTATTTTTATCAAACGCTATAACAGATTTACTCTATACAAATGGAATGTGCACCTCACACTTCTCACTCTTTCGATTTTTGCATAACATTTTCCACAAAAATAATACATTTTTTTTTTGTATTTATAGAATTTAATAAAAAATGCAAAAAAAAAATTGAAAAAAAAATCTTAACATTTTTTATATTGAAAAAAAATTACTTTCAATTTAAAAGTATAATTTTAATTACCAAATAAATTTTCAGCTTTTATAAATTAAATTTCTTTTTAAATTATATAAATTACAGTAAAAAATCTTTTTCTTTTTTTTTTTGGTACAATAACTAGAATTCTTATTTTTACCAAGAATTGAAATTTTACTTTTTTTAATATTTTTTAATGAAAATTATAAAAAAAATATACAGTTTTTTTTTCTTTTAGTAAAAATGATTTAAATTTTGAAAATTTTATCTTAAAACAATATTGAAAATATCCAACAAAATTTAGAATTTTTTTTGGCAAATATGATTTTTTTTTTCGATTTTCTTATGTAAGAAATTTTTTATTTCAAACAAAAATCGAAAAAAGTGAGATGAACAAAGTTTTTGTAACAAAAATACTTCTATATAATTGTCGAAAAAAAAAAAGAAAACAAAATAAATAACTAAAAATTAAAGTTCAAAAGTGGAGATAAAGCGAAATTTGAAACTATACTTTTAGATATTTATTTTTTTGATTCGTTTCAAATTCCACTTTTTTTTTACAACATTATTCCTGGGATTTTGGCAGTGACATTCAATTGCCATGGATGAGGAGAAAACTCATTGGCCATTTTTTTTTCTCTACTGTTTGCTTTTCTTTTTTTCTTTTTTAATTCAAGGAGAAATAAATTTCAAAAAAGTGAATTTTGAATTTTCATATCGTGTGCAAAAAAAAAAAATGCCTTTTCGTTTCTCTTCAGCCATGCTCTAAAAATCAGCTCAAAATGTCCCGAGAGAGGTAATCACAAATCGTAAAATAGAAAAAAAAAATATCAAATAAATTAAAGCGAATCACCCACTAAAACGGGGACCTACACATTATTCAGGAGACTAATAATTTTTTTTTTTACAAAAAGTTATTTTCCAATATTAAAATTAAATTATATTTAATTTTATTAAATTATTTTACTTCTTTAACTGTACAATTTAATTTGAAAAAAATTATTTTTCAATTTTTATAACAGTAATAAGAAGGGCAATGAAATAAAAAAAATTTACAAATAAAAATGAAAAATAAAAAAATACAAACATAAAATATATTAGAGTAAATAAAAATAATAGTAATTAAAAACATTAGAATTTGTGTGTAAAAATAATTTTTTTTTTTTTTTTGAAATAAATAAAGAATATTTAGTCTCCTTTTTATTGTGCGCAGTCCTCGAGTGACGTTATTATAATAAATATAGATAGTATCTTTTTAAATCTCTCACTAACTCTAGTAACACCGCTTAATCAAATCAGTACAAATTATTCGACGAGATTATCGGGATCGATATTGTACATAATTAAAGATATTTTTTTTTTATTTTTTCTTTTATACATTGTCGTCAACGATTGTTATAAATATACCTTTAAAACGGTTATACAAATCTGGTCCCGAAAAAATCTCGTTCAGCACCATGTTTTTTTTTTTTTTAACATCCAACTGGCTAGAATAATTTTTTCTTTTTTTTCGTTTAATACAGTCTTTAAAAGCGGCAACTTGGAAATATAATTTTCATTTTTTCCACGACACGTCCACGCGCCATTTTTTTCCGATGTTTTCTCTCTCCTATATTATTCAAAAGAAAAAAAATTATTCTTCGCTTCAATAAAAAAATTTTTTTTTTAAAAATGACTACAAATTTATTTTTACAAGAATTATTTCAATAATTTGTTATTTGAAAATAAATTATTGGAATTTTCATAAAAAAAAGTGTTTATAAATAACTGTATTGAAAATTTTATAAACTAGTAAAATTACTGTTTTTAAATATTTATTTAAATTGAAAATAAATTTTTGACATTGCAATTTAAATATTAAAATAATTCAAATATTTCAATTTGTGTATTAAAATTTAAATATAAGAAATTAAATATGAAAATTTTATTATAAAAATTTAATATGAAAATTTTAATAGGTTTAATCTTCGATGCCACACTTATTTTTGTCAAATTTGGAAATGAAATTTTTTTACAACTTTCTACATTACCGACTGGTTAAAGATTTAACTAGTACAGCGCTGACTGCTGACAGTATCCACTATGAAAATTTTAATATGAAAATTCAAATACGAAAATTTAAATATTTAATTAATTTTTATTTAATGAAAAATTAATTTAAAAATATCCATCATCGAGAAAAATGTGAATTATAAATTGAAGCGTAGAATAAATTATTTTTTGAAAGTATTTACATTCTTTTCACCCATTTTCTTTTTTTTTTCTTTTTTTGTAAAAATGCAAATCCTTGCTGACAATATACGTTATAATATTGTTCTACTGTACATCATTGTCTCACTAATCTTACATCAGAGAACCGCTTCGTTGTTCATGCCGAATGTCGAACGAATGTTGTGATAAAAAAATAAAATTGAGATAAATTTCAATTTATCTCGAAATCATTGCAATCATCTTCAATAGTGACTATTTTAATTTTATTTAATTTTTTTCATAAATTATCCCAAAAATTTATTATTATTTTTCTATTACAATTTTATCATAACTTTCGCTCGTCATTTTGCAAAAAAAAAATTTTTTTTTTTTATTATAATTTCTCTTTGATTATAACCATTGCAGAATTAATATTCTACCTTATAGCTTACGGTATCACAGAGTTTACACGCGGCTTATATTATTGTTTTCTTTTTGTCATTTCGCCAATAATGTCATCACTGCGTTAAGAAAAAAATATATTTTACATTGAAAAAAAAAAAAATGTTAAATTGAAAAAAAATTATTTTACATTAAAAAAAGGAAATTTTTTCAAATTGTAAGATTTGCCGAAAAAAAAAAATTGCATTTTCATTTATGGGGTGTCTTTGCAGCCCAGCTGCTCTTGTACAATCAGAAAACATTGGAGAGTGTCTAATCACTTTTTTTATTATTCCCCTCTTATTCGCTATCTATAAGAACGTGAACGTGACTTTTTTATTTTCCAACTTGAATATTCTCTCTCATATAAAAAAAAAATTTCTCCCAATTATTCAAAATTCGTGTGAAATAAATTTTTTTGAAAATTAAAATTTTTTTTTGAAAAGGGTAAATTCAAAAAAATTTTTTTTTTATATAGAGAATATTCCGTTAGTAAAAATACGATGTCGCCTACATTTTTTGGATAGTGAGCAGATTTTTAAATTTTTCTCTTGGGATAAATAGAGAGGTGAAAATAAAAATCCGCGCCAAAACGATTGTCGTCTTTTCGAATTATTTATATTGAATATTAATATTAATTTCACACTCCAATTTTTATTTTGAGTATTTTTTTTTTTTGTTTTAAAACTAATTCATCTCAAAAATAAATATATATATTTTTTTTTATTAAAAATAATATGTAATACTGGTCATATTATACCATTTGAAACTAGAAATTGTAATTTTAGAATCGTCTGGCCCGAATTTTTTGTTATATATAACAGAACGAGTATATATATATATATAAGTACGAAAAATCCTGCGACGTTGAATTTTTTTTCTTTCTTTTACAATAAATATTTTTTCTTATATATCTAAATATATATATATAGGCTTTCGTTTACATTCTCTCATTCACTCTCTTCACTCTCATTCATGTCTTTCTTAAAGCTACGAAAAAAAATCAAAAGGCAAAAGCGACATCCAGTGACGCAAAAAATTATTTCCATTTTTATTAAATTTTTTTTTTGTCAATCTTTTTTTTAGTGCAGAATTTATATATAAAGAGTAATTATAGAATAATTAAACAAATATATCATTTCCTTTACTAGTATTTCGAATTGAATATAACAAAATTAGCACACGAGGACGTCAATATTCACTCTTTTGCTCTAATATTCTCTATATAAAATGGAAATGGAATTTCAAGAGGGAAATTTGACGGATCTTCGTCCTTGGATGTTAATTTTGATATAATCTGCTCTTTTTTTTACAGATTGCATTACTCTCTCCAAAAAAAACCCTAAAGCTAATTTCTCTCGATGTTATCATAATATAATTTATATATATATATATTTATAGTTTATACAATAAGCAAGCAAGTCGAGATGATTTTCAAAAATTTATATTATATTTACATTTATAGTAAATAAATTTTATTTAAATAAATTGACTGTAAATATATAATTTATAACAGAATAGTAAAGCTTTTTCTTTTATGTAATGAGTAAAACTTGTTTTTTTTTTTCTTGACAAAACTTAACGAAACAAAAAAAATTTTTTGACTAAATTCATTACAAATCAGGCAGACTGAAACGTCATTTAAAAAATGACGTTAAAATTTTATTAACCCTAGAAAGCACATCTGGGGTAGAAAACTACCGCAGAAAAAATTCAAATTTCAATATTTTTTTTGCAGCCTACTAGCCTATATTTATTTGGCGTAAATAAAATTTTTTTATTTAAATCAAATAAAAATTAGGCTGTGAGATAAATATATATCATTTCTCTTGGTGTCAATTTTAGATAAACGTCGTTTCATCCTCTGCCAGTTTTAAAATGAATTTGGTATTTTGGAAAAAAAATTTCTCTATCCAAATAAATATAGAAATTCTTACATTTATTTTGATCGCACGAGTTTTTTTTTTTTTTTAGTTTTCTTTTCTTTTTGTATTTCCAGTTCAAATGAGCAAAATGTCATGATAAAATTTTAATTGGCAACACGGTTTTTGTATAATATTCTATATATATACTCTCTTTTGAATTATATATAGTTAAAAATAACTAATTTAATAGTAAAAAGTTGAAATAGTAATATTTCTGCTAATCTTTTAATATTCTACTAATCTTTCAGTTGAAAATAACTAATTATTAGTTAAATTCACTTTTAGGTTATGTCAAAACTAAAATTTCTGGTAACTATTTTTAATTAGTCAAATTTAACTATTTTTCACTTATTTACTTTTTTTTTACTAGTACTTAGTTATTTTTTTACTAATTTCTGAAGCAAAAAGTTATTTTACTAAAAATTAGTTATTTTTAACTAATTTAGATTTAGAGAATACTCTGAAAAAACAAATTTATTTGATTCAAATATTCGGTTACTTGACCATTATCAGATAAATATTTACTTGAACCAAATGATTTTTAAATTAAATAAATAATTATAAAAAAAAATAAATTATTAATTTAATATTACATAATTAAATTGTTAATTAAAAATATTATGTAATTAAATTATAATTAATTTAATAAATTTTATAAATTGTATTTGAATCAATAATTTCTGAATTTGAAACACATACCATTTAAGTGATTCAGAAAATAATTATTTAATACAAATATTCATTTCATAATAGTCAAGTAACCGATTATTTGAATCAAATAAATTTTTTTTTTTCAGTGCAGAGAACGTGAAACAAATTAACGAGATAGAAATTATTTTACAAAGAAGAAAATTTACTTTCACGGGAAATAAGTAAATAATATAATGATAATAGTTATAAGAGCATTAATTTTGTACTATTGGTAATTAAAATTTTATTTTTATAATAATCATATTGTATTTTCTTTTTGTTTAAAGAGCAAAAATAAATCCAGTTGAAAACATTAGTGAAAAGCAAAAAAAATAGTTATTTATGTGCGACGATCAAGATGAAAAACCGGTATACAAGATTGCTGGGCACATAACTATTACCATCAAAGTGAATCTGATGTATACCATATTTGTCTCTTCACGTATTTGCTTTCGTTTTTTATATATATAGAAGAGAAAAATCGTCATCAGCCAATTTAAGTAAAATCTACTCTCACCTTGTTTCTCGTTCTCTCAGTGAAAAAGGCGCACATTTTCAAAAATTATATATATATATATATTTTTTTTTTTACCAAAGTGCAAGTGGATACCAATTTTTTTTGTCGCTATTTAGAAATTAGTACAATTTTTTCTCGATTACTTTCAAAAAGAAGAGAATAATAATTATTAAATAATTCTTCTAATAAATGAAACAAAAAAAAGAAAAATTAGTGGACAGAAATCATTTTTTTAATATGACACAATTTTAGAAAGAAATATTTTAAAATTTTCAAAAAGAACATTTTCTATAGAATAAAATTATTTAATTTAGAGAAATAAACACTGAAAACAAAGTAGATTTAATTCGAAGAAAACTATGAGCCTGGCTACACCGAGAGCCAACCAGGAGCATTAAATTTGATGCTCAGGCGTATTAAACGAGTAGATTTTATTCGCGTCTGCGCAGAATGTTTCTGTAAATCTGCGATCATGGTTGCGATAGTGACAGGTTAGAAAAGTTTGCTAGCTTCTAACCTGTCCCTATCACAACCATGGTTGCAGATGTACACAAACGTTCTGCGCAGACGCGAATATAATCAACTCGTTTAATACGCCTGAACATCAAATTTAATACTCCTGGTTGGCTCTCGGTGTAGCCATGCTCTCAATTTATACTTTTCTGTATTTGATCCACTAATTTTCATGTTTCATTTCTGAACTTTGAAAGGATAAATTTATTATCATAAAAATTAGTGGATCAAATACGGACAAATACAAATGTTGAATCCCTTTTTCAGTGTAGAAAGAATAATTTTACGTATATAGAAAATTCTAAAAAGAAAATATAAAGTTTCTTTTTCACTTACTAATTTGGCATCTGTATTTTCTGTAAATATATAAATTACAACTGACATTAGTAGTAATGATAAAAAAAAAATCTCTTGTATCCGAGAAAAAAAATTGTTTTGTAAAATCGTTGAGAACCTTCGATGCAGGAATTAAAGTATAGAACACACATACCTTTTTTGTTCAACTAGAGGATTGGCTAACAATACAGTAATAATTATTCTTGATGAAGAATAGCATATATATACATATATGTAAGGATTCTACCGTAACAGTTTGAAAACTTTTTCAAAATCTTGACAAAATTTTCCCTAAAACGTTGAAATTCTATAATTCTTGACACTTATCCCAACATTGTTCTTCCTTAGCTGCTAAAGGATATTTCTGGATATATATATATATAATATATTCGGATGTATTTTGATATACAGTTGACAGTGATGTAATCTTTATCTCTCCTCATTTCTGAATCTGATAACTAGTTATCGCATATAGTAGATTGATGAAGTTTTGTATAAGTACCATTCGATTCTATTTTATTTTATATTTTCCAAAAATTTAACAGATTTTACAAACATCAAGATTTTTCTTCATTACCAATTTTTGTTGTTGGAAATTGAAAATTTGTGGCACCAATTTTTGGTTCATTTACAGAATCAGAATTTTTAAGTACTGTGTTTACTTTTTTTTTTTTGTTTTGTTTATAGACTGTCTGGTACTATATGTTAATTTTTGTAGCTATCATCTTAGATCTTGATCTAGCTTTCAGTTTCAATTATACCAGTGACTTTAGGAATCACATGAATTGCTGGATCTATGGAATGATCTATAAAGATGATTTTTCAGAATCTCAGAGAATAGCGTCTTGGGTTAGCCTTTTGGAAGAAATTTTTTGATTAAAAAAGAAGCCTTTGAATCATCATTTTTGCCTTGGAATTATTTTCAATGTTCCAAATTTTTTAAAATTGTTTTACAAACTTTTCCATATTTCGGATATTTTTATCCGCACAAATTCTTTACATGATATAATTTATCATTTATCGTGATCATTATGATAAAATTCATATCATTTATCTAGCATGATGTTACTAACCTATCAGGATCATTAAATACAAAAGTACTTAATTTTTTTTTTCTTTTAGTATCACTTTTGATGTTTCAATATCACTTGCTCATGCAATATCACTAGACTATATCTAATATCACTTGAATTTTTTTTTTTTTTTTTTATAACCTTTCATCGAAATGTTCGAGAAGAAAATTAAAGTGTGGGCCAACCGTTTTTTGGACGACGCTTTTTTTTTTGCGATTGAGGAAAGAAAAGTTCATGTTCTCTCTGAGAATCTGCAACTTACTCTCATTGGGTTCCTCTACCATGCTGGTGGTTCCGGACATGAGCGTGCAACTTTGACGCCACTATTACCGGAAACGGTGGTTGGTGCCGAGATCCGGCGAATCTCGATTGGTTTCGAGCCGGACACATGTGTTGACCGATTCGAAACCCCAGAGTTGTTTCACGAAAGATTTCTCTGATCGTCAGCACTGTCGTCTGCTTTTTTTAGGGATCTTTTTAATTTGTCAACAAGACGATTGTGAAATTTATTTAATGAATTTGAACTACCAGTTTTTGGTGGTGAGGAACCGGTGCTTTTAATTGGACTCTGAAGTGAACTTTGCGATGCTCGGGATGATGTCCTGGAGAAATGCCTCGATGTCAATGGCACTGAACGATGTGCTGGCGATGTTAAGAAATCAGAACCTGGCGAGGTGGATAGTGAGGGACCTTCCGATTTGGAACACTCGGACACCTGAAACACGTAATAAGAAGAATTTTCCTTCAGCGAGCGTGTTGGCGTCTATAAAAATGCTCTTCCTGACATGACATGAGAGTCCTGACGGAACGAGATGATTCGCACTGATGAGTCACAAAGATCTGCGAAAAACAGACCTCCGCACTTTTCTTTTTTTTTTTGTTTATTTTTTTTTTTTTTTAGAGTCAAATCGAGTACGAGAACAGTTTGGATCACAAAGTGGTATAAGGAGTTTTTACTTTATAAAGTTTTGGCCTGTTTTCCATTTGTTTTTCAGTGTATTGTGTTTGAGATACTCTTTTTTTTTTTTTAAATTACTAGGTTATACGTAGCAGCTCAATTATTGCAAATGGCTGAATATGATTCGGGTCTGTTCGTGCAGGTTCGTGTTTGTTTCGACTGCGACACGAAACTGGACGAGTAGACACGAATCTTCTCGAATTTATGAGTTGCAACGTTTTTTTTCCTATAGAGTGCACTGGTAACTCCAACACAACACAACGAAAGAAAAATCAAAAATTGGCGTCACTTTTTTCAACGAAGTGGAAAACACCTTATACTCTACTTCGTGGTTTCGATTCTCCTCATATATAAACTGAAATGATATATGAACATGCTCACAACCTCTAAACTCGGCTGCTCTCTTAATTAGTCGAAATTTACTAATTAAATTTTCGAAAATCCTCTAATTAGAATCATAAATTGGAAAATGTTAAAATTAGAAAAATAGAAAATTATTAGTAGTCTAATAAATATTTCCATAATTGATTAGTAGACAAATAATAATCTACAAAAAATAAGTAGTTTCTACTAATTAGTTTTTATAATTATAATAAAAAAGTAGTATCGACTAATTAGATTTTATAATTATAATTTTGTATAATTAGTGTAAATTATTTTACTCACTGTTAGCAATTTATTGTCTCGTTAAAATTCGTTATTAATTCGAATGTATAGCAAACGATTTTTCATTAAATAAATACTTTATTAATATAGATTTTGACTAATTTATTTTGAGAGCAGCCAGTTTTCTGCTTTTAGATATTTTTCTTACAATAATGAAAATTTAAATTACTTTTGATATTAAATCTTCATTTTTAAAATTATAAATGAAGTTTTTTTTTTAATTCTATTAATTTTTTTAGTACTATTTTTTTAAAAGTATTTGATAAAAGTAATTTTTTCGAATAAAATTGTTTAACGATAAAAAGAAAATTCGAAAATAATTTTTCTTTGAAACTGAATTGCGAGGTATATAAAAAAATCTGACTTTTTTTATCAAGTATCAAAAGTAATTTGACTTTTCAAATATTTATAGCAAGCTCACAGCCGTATTGGAACGTCAAAGAAACCCTCTGTTATAAAGTTAAATGCATCTATTTTAAAAATGCATTTAATTGTTCTTTATATAATATAAACGAATTTCTGAGAGAATTTCACATTAAAACTCAAGCACTAAAAGTTTATAAATAGAAATTTTTTAATTACAAAAATGTTTAAAGAAAATTTGTAAAAAAAAAATAGAAATTTTTTTAGATATCTAAGAATTAAAAAAAGAAGCTTTGAAAAATATTCTGTAATAAAATAAAAATTTTTAAGAAAAAAAATTATTTATCATACAATAGGCTAGAAAATGAAATTTTTTTTTATATATTTTAATTTTTTTTGTATATTTTACAAAATTTCGAGGGTTTCTTATGCAGTTCATGAAATTAATTTAAAAGCAGTTTTTTTTGCTAGCTATATAAACGTGCATTCGAAGCATACTAAATTCGAGGCAAAAATTGAAAGTTGACAATTTTTTTTTTTTTGTTTTAATAATGAATAAAAATTATGAATTCCCTTCCTTCCTCTATATATCTCTCAATCTTTCATGCTCTTCAGATTTCCTTTTTAACTGAAGCACTTATCATCATAAAAAAAGAGTCACTCAATTCAATATTTTTTTGTTATTTTTATGACATTTGACACTCTATTCAGAATTACAAATATCTTTTATACAAAAAATTAATACAAAATAAAAAATTAGAATTTCGCATCGAAAAATTAATTTAAAATCTAAATCTATTTATTCTTTCAGATATGTAATTAAAAAAAAAAACATGAAATCGAAAGTTAAACTATTTAATAAAATTGTTATTTTTAGACAGAGAAAAGATATACCTAATAGTAAAAGAATTCAGTGAACAAAGAAATCATTTTTTTTCCTATATGAAGAATAAAAAAAAAAAAATTGATAATTTTGTAGATCACGAGAAGCCGCGACATTCACAATGAAAGATAAGGATGTCACTTGACGTGACACACAAATCGATGAGTCAATATTTATACAAAAATTATTATTATTATCGAATCAAGAGTGACTTTATTGGCCTATTAACTCATGACTATTACCTTCACTGAAAATAAATTGCATAAAACGATGAAATATAAATATTGTTTGATTTAGATATTGAACACAAAATATTCAAGTTGATTAATGTATAATTGGGACGCATGAATATGTTTTAAAAATCATTAGTTAGAATTTTCATTTTGTCATGTAAATTATTTTTAAACCGAATTTTTATTTGTGTTCGAATTAAGATTTTACAGAATTTTCATCAAACCGATTTTCTATATTACAGAATTTTTATATAACCGAAAATTCACTTCACAGAATTGTTATTTGTTGGAATTTTTATTTACTCGAATTTTCATTTAACATAATAGGCATTTTAAAGAATTTTTATTGGGTAGAATTTCATTGCATAGAATTTTCATTTTATTCTTTCAGATGAATTTTTATTTGTTCGAATTATTATTTAATATAATTTCTATATAACCGATTTTTCAAACTACAGAATTTTTACTTAACCAAAAAATCATTTAATAAAATTTCTAATTGATAGAATTTTCATTTGTCCGAAATTGCAAATGGCCGAACAAACAATTGACAGAAAGATTTCGGCGCGATTTTTAAAATCAACCAATCAAAAATTATCCATAAAATTGTGATTGGTTGATTTTAAAAATCGCGCCGAAATCTTTCTGTCAATTGTTTGTTCGGCCATTTGCAATTTCGGACAAATAAAAATTCTATCAATTAGAAATTCGGTTAAATGATTTTTTGGTTAAGTAAAAATTCTATAGTGTGAAAAATTGGTTATATGGAAATTATATCAAATAATAATTCGAACAAATGAAAATTCATCTGAAAGAATAAAATGAAAATTCTATGCAATGAAATTCTACTCAATAAAATTTCTTTAAAATGCATATTATGTTAAATGAAAATTCGAGCAAATAAAAATTCGAACAAATAAAAATTCTGTGAAGTGAATTTTTGATTTTATAAAAATTCTTGTAATATAGAAAATTGTTTTGATGAAAATGCTGCAAAATACTAATTCGAACAAATAAAAATTCGGCTCAAAAATAGTAATGATGACAAATGAAATTACATAAAATAAAAATTCTAATGTTTTTTTTTTTAGAACATATTCATGCGTCCCGTATAAACACTAAAATTTTCATTTTCGAAAATTTTTTCTTTCAATATTGTAATAAATTGTTGGAAATAAAATTATATTGCACGCAAAAGAGAGATTAGTAAATTCAATAAATATAAATATGAAAATAAGGACAACAAATTTGTGTATTGATTTTACATATGTGAATTATAAAAATTTAAATATGTAAAAATTTTGTCCTTTTTTCTATTCTCTTGATTTAAATTTTACTGATCTTGAAGCGTGTGTGTCTTTTTGTTTAAATACTACATATTATAAATGAAATTATTTCACAATTTTATATATTAAATTATATTACTGTTAAATTTTTTTTTTTATCATTCTAAAATGTACTTTACTGCTTATGTACTACCTTAACTTACACTCTTAGAAAAATTTGTATTAAATTTAATATAAAAAATGTAATTTTTCCTCTCTCTAAATTTGATGGAATCAATTATTTTTGACTAATATTGGAATTATATTTTATTGAATTTTTATATTTTATTGGAATTTTTAAAGTATTTTATAATTAAAGAAATTATAAAAGACAATTTCTGAACCAATTTTTTTAAAATTTTATTCGACTTAAATTTTTTTTTTTTGTTCCGTATTAATATATGCTCAAAAATATTGACTATACACTACAAACGAAGAATAAATTTTACATTCATTACATTAATTTATTTAAAGCAGAATTTTCCTAACAATGAACTACATTTTTCAGTGAAAAAAGGTACTTCACAAGAAGTCAAGTGTTTGCCATTAAATTCATTGTCACTATTAATTATAAATTATACTCCACACTCTCTTATAATTCGTGTTTAATTATTATTAGCCTTTGTATTTCACAGACCAATTAACAACAGTCATGATCAAAAACAGTGTGAAGGACAAATCAATTATTTTCATATATTACAATATTTTAATCCAATATTTGCTAATCGAAATTAGTAAAAATAAATGAATAATATTCTTTGTAAAAATCATTTATTTATTTTTAATAATAAATCTTTATTAAGCATTTGTGTTGTAAACATCTGTAAAAATGTATTTTAAATAAATATTGACTTTGGGTGCATTGCTTCTTTAATTGTAATTATATATCATTTTAACTTCATATTATTGTGCAAAAATAAACGTGCCATAATTTCAAAGAAAAAGGATTTTTATATAAAAAAGATTCATTGAATCAAATAATTAGAAGCGAGAAACAGTTGAATTTGATAGAATTTCTTTTTAAACGAATTTTTTACCTAACAGGATTTTTAGGTATATCGAATTTTTATTCGTCAGAATTTATAAAAATACAAAAATTTTATTTGTCTAAAATTGCAAATGTCCGAACAAACATCAACGAAGAAAGATTATGGCGCGATTTTTAAAATTGACCAATCAGAAATTGTCGAGAAAATCGTGATTGGTGAAATTTAAATAAATCACGCCGAAATCTTTCTGTCGATTCTTTTTTCGATCATTTTTAATTTTTGGACAAATAAAATTTTA